AGACCTATGATCAGCGCCAAATACAAGCGTGTCAGATGAACCATGAGGGTCCAAGCCAATTGGAAAGCCCGAAGCTGCTGTGGGATGTGCTTCTAGAGAAGCTATAACGGAAAAAAAGATAATGCAAAATCAAGGTACCCAAGAAGGTGGCAAAGGGAAGGAAGGTCCATGAAAAGCCTTTGCTTAAAGAACCTATGCCCATAGACAAGAGCCCTGAAAAATAATACGGTTGTGAGTTGCATCCAAGTAAATCTACATCATGCACGACTTCTACGGATAACTTGATAAGAGTCTTATATAGTTAAGGATCAGGTTTCATATTTATTTATTTATTTATTTGCTTAACTCAAACAAATTTACATAAAAAAAAACAAAAAATTAATATACAATTTAGCAATTACTTATAGTATACTATACTTATACTGGAATCTACTTCAATATAGAATTAAAAAAAAGTATTTATTACTTATCTTTTTTTTTTTTTTTTGGTTTTATACAAGATAAACTTAAACTTGAAAAGCTACCAGACAAATAAAACAAATAAACAAATTTATGGTAAGTTGGAGAACAAAACTTTTTTTAGATGCTCTTTACTTTGCGACAATCAATAAAATTTTTATATTTTTTAACATTAATAAACATCCTATTTATCGGCTCGTATTTCTCATAATTTGTTCGATGAAAAGCTGTAATAAATATATTTTGTGGCCTAAACCGAGTACTGGTATTTCAGCTAGTATAAATAAGTATTTTAATTCTTGTAGCATCAATTCACCCATTTTCAACCTGGATAATGAACAAAATATCTGCAACCATTCTTCTAGATTCTAAAGTATTCAGGCTTAAAAATTTAAGTCGGTCTCCATATGGCGGCAGATTAAATAGATCATGCCAATTTAGACCAAGCAATGCAAATTTAATAAAGTTCCTTTAAACCGCCTCAAGTCTTCCTATATGCAAAGAATAATGTGGCGTCTAAACTTAACTTGCGTATTCAAGATTATATTCAATGATATATACAAAGATTTCAGAATATGAGGATCATTGAATTATTTGCCTCACCTATTTACAAAAGTTGGCCTTATTGATTATTGCATTCAAGTGAGTTCTAAAAGTCAATTTTCCATCAAAGACAACATCCAAATCTTTAAAAAAATCAGCTCTTTCTGCAACCTCATCATTAATACAGTGATCAACAATAAAAGGAACCAATTTGAGCGTATAAGTAACTAAAGACTTTCCAACTTAAATTAGATCATACTATGCGGTAATAGATCAAAATCTTTCGACAAGTCCGTGGAAATGACATCAGTTTGGAAACCAGACCCCATAACATTCAAACAGAAAGAAGTAACATCTATTAAACTACTTATGGTTAATCGTTTTTTTACAAAACCATGTTGATTCGACACCAAAAAGTCCGAACACTGATCATAGATGGAATCAAAAACCATAAGTTAAAATAATTTAGGAATGGAGGTCAACTTTGTAATGGAGGCCGATAATTGGTCACCTCCTTTTTGGAACCAGTTTTCTGAACGTAGCGAATAAATACTTCCTTCCAAAACTCGGGAAAATGACAACAAGAAAGTGAGCGAGTGAACCAGACAGATATAAAGGGCGGCTTTTTTGTACTATTTTAGGAACATTATCAGGCCTGGAAAAACAATTTGTCTCAAGCGCATCCCAATATTTTTTTACTCGAGAAATGGAAAAATCCATTGAAGAAATCGGCAGAATGGGAAAGGTATCAAGATGATTAAAATTGTCAGAGTTAATATTAAAAAAATTATTAGAACACGAGCTGAAAAAGAAATCACGTAAGAATTGTGTAATATGAAATAAATTATTGGAAGAAAAGCCCTCATAATTCATAAAAGATGGAAATTGATTACATTTTAACATACAACTTTGGATTACTTTTATTTTGATGACCAATAATACCAAGGTAATTGTCGTATTTGATCCATCTCTATATTTCATGTATGAACTCCAGACTCTTTTTTTTTTATTTTTCAATTTTTTCAACTCCTTATCAAACCACGGTAGAGAAGAGTTAACGTATCTAATAATGTAAAGACATTATTTAGAACGTTGTAAACTTTAGGTACCAAATGGTGGCTAAAAATCATTGATCATGAAATGATCAACGATCATGAAATCATTGATCCCCAAGTTAGCAAAAAGAGAAAAAAATTTAATAGTGCGAAGATAATCATTTAATGCTATAAAGTTGGTTCTAGAAAAGTCAAATTTAAAACAAACATTCAACATATTTTCGTTTTTATAATTATAAAAGTATGAAGAACAAATTGGAGGATGATAATTATCTACATTAACTAAAGGTAAACCACCGTCATTTAAAATTAAGTTACACCAAGCTGTAGTAAAAGTAAAGTCCAATTGCCTGTTTTGAAAATTAACTTTATTAGAAATTGGTTGGAGAACAATAACGTTTAAAAAATCTAGGAAAATTGCCACAGAATCATTTGCAATATGACCAGGTATCAATCAATTCGTAATCATGAAGCGTACAGGAAATATTTGGAAGATTAAAATCTCCAAACAAAAGTAATTTATCTCTTGAATTCACGAAAGAATTAATATAATCAATAGCCTGGCAAAAATTTTCATAGGTTTCAACGGATGAATTAGGAGGAAATATTTGGAAGATTAAAATCTCCAAACAAAAGTAATTTATCTTTTGAATTCACGAAAGAATTAATATAATCTGGCAAAATTTTCATAGGTTTCAACGGATGAATTAGGAGGAATATAACAATTCATTATAAAAATATTCTTGAAAATTAAGTCCAATAGCCACAATTTCCAAAAACGAAAGCTGGTGCAAATCTAACTGGTTCGCATTAAAACTATTTTTATCCGAAACCAGAACACCTCCGGGATCATTGTTCACCCGACAGAATCACTTGAGACAGTATCATATCTGTCCCTTCTATAAACAGAATAACTGCTCCCAAATAATTTAAGAGAATTAATCGTATGACAAAGTCAGGTCTCAGCTAAAATAAAAATATCACAATCAAGACTCTAATATTTGATAGTAAATCAAAATAAAAGTGGGTTGGAAATTTATATTATTACAGTAAGTAGGGCTGGTGTTATTATCAGTATAACTTAGAGTTGTATTAATGATAACAACTCAAAGACTAGGTGGCCGCAATTGTGAAAATGAGATCCCCGGGAGTTGGACAGAGTTTGTTCCATGCTCGCCCTCGGGAAACTTTTACCGTTCAGACGAGTATCTGAAGGACATAGTGGACTTCTGTGGAAGGAGGAGCTTTCAACTGTTAATAAATATATAAAGTTAAGCTAGAAATTGTGAATGAGGACAATAGGCAACATTTGTAAACGTGATCAGGGAGGAAGTCCTTGGCACCTCTCCACTTGGCAAAACTCAACGACATTGCCTCTTGGACCGCAGGCAATCTCGTTGAGTTTTGCGAATGAGATGTTCTGGGTGCCTCAGTTCACAGACTGGAGATAATATGAAACGCTCTTCATGGATGGAATGCGCTCTGTGCCTTTTCTGTTAGGACCGCGGCGGGAATTGAGTTTTCTAAAGGGGAACCTGGAAGCGGCTATTATTGATACTTATCTCGGGAGTTGTCCTATCAAGCCGAGGTAAAGTAACAGGAAATATCTAATACGGACCGGGAAGCATTCATGGCTGGGACTAGAGACCAGTAACCTTATAATGAATATAGATTCTCACTTACAACTTATAATAAAGAAGTAATGAGACCAAAGAAGGGCCGGGTTCATAGGGTGTTTTCCAAAATCATGCGGGCAATTGAATGACCTATTACTGAAGGCGGGAAACGCACATTGGAGCTGATAGCTTCAACACGCTTTTCTGATTCGGTCTCACAAGAACTGCGAAGACGGTCATTAATATAACAGCCCTTTGCCCAATTAAAAAAAAAATTACCAAAGATTACCGGCGGCGCTGCAGTTCCGTTTTATGATGGACAGGATTAGATGAGGTATCTTTTCTTATAGGCCTTTCAAAACACTAGAAAAAGACGACAACTTTAATAAACCAACTTTTCCGTCTGGTTTATTGTTTTTTAAATGATAACTCTTTTTCTTGCGAGAAATTAGGTCATTAGGTTTAGGTCATTAGGTAATTAGGTAATTAGGTTTCTCTTTCTAAAGTTTTTTCATATTTCATACCGGATAAACCTTATATTAATAATAAAATTAAAACGATTAGTTTTGTGTTAAATTAAATAAGTAGATTAATTTTATATAATGGTTATACTGCTATCTCTCTTCGAAGAAATCGTGAAATTGGCTTCCAGTTTCGTCGTCGAGCCTAGATATTCCCAAAACATATAGAAGTTCATTGTTTTAACAAACTAAATTTAAATATTAAATTACAAAAAAATTGGTAAAACGTCTCTATATACGCACAAAAATAAATTAGTTAAGCTGCTGACGCATGATTTCCTCCAAAAGTTAGGTAATTTGTCATACTATCAAATGAAACTTACACATAAAATTTCAAAAAAATATAGTGAACTCTTTCTTAGAAATAATCACAAACGCAAAACTGGCCGTAAAAAGGACTACCTCCTGAGGCCTGACGTTCCCCAAATCTTGATCAATCTGTGATCAGCCAAAATTAGCAGATAATGAACTTGAGAAACACGGATAAACACAGATAAACAAACACAGAGAAAGACAGATTGGCGTACGGCAAAATAATTTTAACAATTTTGTCTTCACTTTTTGCCATATTCAACAAAATTTGACGTTTATCATGATAGAATTTTAACGTTTAGTAAAATATTTTTGGAAGCTATATGTCAATTATCTAAATCTATCTAAATTGTAAGGGGCTTGTAAAAATTTAGATAAAGAATTATTTAGTTTTTTGGCAGATCACAGAATTTTTTAGCTTTATATTCAAAAAAGATATATACATGTGTAAAAACATAACTACCCACATTAAATAACAAAAATTTTTCATTTACCAAGGTGTTCATAAAGCAGCACTCTCTGACCAATAAGAGCAGCAAGCTATCGACTCGATCCTCAAAGTGTTGGGAAGATTTAAACTGCGGCAACAATTCATGACCATAGACGCATAACGTTTTCTTATAGTTGTCAATTGTTCTTATAAGCGCTTGAGCATTTATCTGCGGAAAAATATTTATAAAACCTTTTTATAGTAAACTACCAATGACTTTGAAAACTACTTGAGTATTTGGTGAATTATATAGAATACTGTAAACAGGAGCTTCCGGTTGAAATACAAATTCATTACTTTGAAACGATTCCACCTTAATATGTACTTTTAGCTCAGGATTGTCTCTTTTGATAATTTTCCAAGCTTTTTCCGAACAATTGCGTATACTAGTTGACATTGGAGTATAACGATTTTGATATAGAAATAAATGTTTGAGCTTTGTGTCTGCAATTAACTGTAAAACATCATCATCGATGTTTTGTGGCGAGATTACAAGAACCTGGTTGAAATTTATAATATAACTGATAATTAGTTTAACTTTATAAAATTTAGATAAAGGGTATACTAACCTTTAAGTTTAAGAATAATCCAATGTGCAATATCGGGCAATGAATGATTGTTATGTTCACAAGATTCAAATAAATTAAAACCGTGCAGCAAGAATCTAAAACTTCGTCAAGCAAATGATTAGCCTCATAATAATCTAGAACCAAATCAACCAATTTTAAAATTTTTAAATTTCTAAATTTTGATAAGAGATTCTTTAAAACTTGTAGAAGTTGCCCTAGTATTAAAAAAATACTCTTATTATCCATACTGTTTTTCAGTTAAATTATTTAGGATTTACCTCCAGTTCCAAACAGTTTAATTCCTTGAGGATCTTCAGTTTGCGACATACTACATGGGAAAGTATATTTCAAGCTTTTTACTTTTGCACCGATTCCAGCAAGTTCTAAAGGACAATTTTGCGACTGAGCCTAAAATATATCGAAAACATATAAAAATTATGCTTTACATAATATTATATTAAACATAATTTTTGTTGCTCAGATTACGAACGAATATATTACTTTATCCATACACCAAGCAAATAAAGTCATAAATTGGAATAAATTTTGGAAACTATGTTCTGGTCGAAAGTCTAGGCCTTTTATATATCTGCCCACACGCATCAAGCAATTTTGTGTTCTATTGTGATCCAATACATGGTGCCAACCGGAGTAATAGTTGTACTTAGGTCTAGTTAAGGTGCAGTCATCAACAATAAAGTTAGACCAAACAGGTGGCATATGAAAACCGAAGTACCAGTTTTTACAAACCTATTAAAGTAAAATTTAAACTAGTATTTATATATTTAGTTTTATAATTCTTTACATACCATACTTGCGTAGTACCTTTCTTTTACAGTTAGATAACCAAAAACTTTTTCCAATATTATATCCGGTAAAAAGTTCCATTGTGAATATTCCCTTGAGTCGTCGTTTCCCTTTTCGTTTTCTTCTTCAATGTCAATATAGCAAGCTGAAAGAGTGAATTGAACAGTTATAAAAAAATTATGTTAGGGTGAGTACATAACGTGATTATTGCAAACTAAATAAAAAAGAAAATCGCACAACACATCGGATGATGCCAAGAAAAACAAAATAAAACAAAGCAGAAAAATTGTCTGTCACAGTTTTTAATCAATATCACATTTATGCAGAATGAATAATAATAATAATAATAATAATAATAATAATAATAATAATAATAATAATAATAATAATAATAATAATAATAATAATAATAATAATAATAATAATAATAATAATAATAATAATAATAATAATAATAATAATAATAATAATAATAATAATAATAATAATAATAATAATAATAATAATAATAATAATAATAATAATAATAATAATAATAATAATAATAATAATAATAATAATAATAATAATAATAATAATAATAATAATAATAATAATAATAATAATAATAATAATAATAATAATAATAATAATAATAATAATAATAATAATAATAATAATAATAATAATAATAATAATAATAATAATAATAATAATAATAATAATAATAATAATAATAATAATAATAATAATAATAATAATAATAATAATAATAATAATAATAATAATAATAATAATAATAATAATAATAATAATAATAATAATAATAATAATAATAATAATAATAATAATAATAATAATAATAATAATAATAATAATAATAATAATAATAATAATAATAATAATAATAATAATAATAATAATAATAATAATAATAATAATAATAATAATAATAATAATAATAATAATAATAATAATAATAATAATAATAATAATAATAATAATAATAATAATAATAATAATAATAATAATAATAATAATAATAATAATAATAATAATAATAATAATAATAATAATAATAATAATAATAATAATAATAATAATAATAATAATAATAATAATAATAATAATAATAATAATAATAATAATAATAATAATAATAATAATAATAATAATAATAATAATAATAATAATAATAATAATAATAATAATAATAATAATAATAATAATAATAATAATAATAATAATAATAATAATAATAATAATAATAATAATAATAATAATAATAATAATAATAATAATAATAATAATAATAATAATAATAATAATAATAATAATAATAATAATAATAATAATAATAATAATAATAATAATAATAATAATAATAATAATAATAATAATAATAATAATAATAATAATAATAATAATAATAATAATAATAATAATAATAATAATAATAATAATAATAATAATAATAATAATAATAATAATAATAATAATAATAATAATAATAATAATAATAATAATAATAATAATAATAATAATAATAATAATAATAATAATAATAATAATAATAATAATAATAATAATAATAATAATAATAATAATAATAATAATAATAATAATAATAATAATAATAATAATAATAATAATAATAATAATAATAATAATAATAATAATAATAATAATAATAATAATAATAATAATAATAATAATAATAATAATAATAATAATAATAATAATAATAATAATAATAATAATAATAATAATAATAATAATAATAATAATAATAATAATAATAATAATAATAATAATAATAATAATAATAATAATAATAATAATAATAATAATAATAATAATAATAATAATAATAATAATAATAATAATAATAATAATAATAATAATAATAATAATAATAATAATAATAATAATAATAATAATAATAATAATAATAATAATAATAATAATAATAATAATAATAATAATAATAATAATAATAATAATAATAATAATAATAATAATAATAATAATAATAATAATAATAATAATAATAATAATAATAATAATAATAATAATAATAATAATAATAATAATAATAATAATAATAATAATAATAATAATAATAATAATAATAATAATAATAATAATAATAATAATAATAATAATAATAATAATAATAATAATAATAATAATAATAATAATAATAATAATAATAATAATAATAATAATAATAATAATAATAATAATAATAATAATAATAATAATAATAATAATAATAATAATAATAATAATAATAATAATAATAATAATAATAATAATAATAATAATAATAATAATAATAATAATAATAATAATAATAATAATAATAATAATAATAATAATAATAATAATAATAATAATAATAATAATAAAAATAATCATAATAATAATAATAATAATAATCATAATAATAATAATAATAATAATAATAATAATAATAATAATAATAATAATAATAATAATAATAATAATAATAATAATAATAATAATAATAATAATAATAATAATAATAATAATAATAATAATAATAATAATAATAATAATAATAATAATAATAATAATAATAATAATAATAATAATAATAATAATAATATTAT